ACTCTGAAAGGGAAGGTAGCTCTGAAGGGTAAGAAGTGCCTAGAAATGCATTCCTGGCTCTGATCTTAATGAGAAAGAAAAGGAGGAAAGGACATAAGTTTCCTTTGCTTTCCTTTGATTCTTTGACTTCCAGTTAGAATTATTCTGTACCATCGTGATTTAGAAGGGAATAGATCCACTTTTTAAACCACTTCACATACTAGAGAACACAAAAGAGTGCTTATAAAGTGGTATCATAGACCTGTAAGCAGGAAAATTAAACCTGCTTCCCACCTTCACCCCAGACAAGCTTCCATTTGCTAAAATAACAACAGAAAAGTGTGGGAGGCACAGCTTGACTCTCTTCTCAACTATTTATTTTCCTTTTTCTCATTTTTTTATTAAAACTTTTTAAATTTTCTTAACTGCCGAGTACAACTCTGGAGCTGGGAATACAATGCTGAAGGAGGCCTACTCCCATTGCTTAAGGTAACGAGTTCAGCAGTTGTACCCATCCAGGGATGGGGTTTAGGAGAGGGACATGGATAATATAAGAAGAGCACAAAGCAAGGGTTGTGAGAGAAGGACGGGTTTTATTATGTGGCTAAAACAGCTGAAGAAGGTGGATTCTGAAGAAGAGTAGGAAATGGATGGCCATCCTATTCAAGATTTTTTTTAAAGAAAATATATGCATTGTCTCTAATGCTATAGATATCTTATAGGTGATTAACTCCTGTATTTTGGTGACACATATTTTTTAAAAAATATTTTATTTATTTATTTGACAGAGAGATCACAAGTAGGCAGAGAGACAGGAAGGGAAGCAGGCTCCCTGCAGAGCAGAGAGCCCTATGTGGGGCTTGATCCCAGGACTCTGGGATCATGACCTGAGCTGAAGGCAGAGGCTTTAACCCACTGAGCCACCCAGGCACCCCCCTTGGTGACACATTTTTAAAGAGATTATTAAGGCAATAATTTGTGACCATCGTAGAGAAAGGAAGTGGTGATCAACAGTACCAGGTGTGGATTTACTAAGAACAAGTCACGTCAGACCAACACCATTTCTTCAGTGGATTAGGGAACCAGGGTAGATTTGGGGTTGAGTGGGTGTTAGGAAAGCAGAAATAATGGAGGGAGTCACAGAAATCTTTGTTTTTGAAAAAATATATATGTTGAGTGTCTGCTTAGATCAGATGTTTGCTAGGCAACGGCACTCACACTTTTTCGTGTTTGATCATCACAGTAAGCCTATTAAGAAAATTTTGGCTTCCTGAAAACCAACGACAGCATAACATTCAAGCTCTGCAAGCTTGACACTGAAGGAGAGGGTGGGTCGGAGGGGACTATCTCGGTGGAGCCCGTTTGCCCACCCATGAGGTCCCCAAGGCTAATCCTAGAGGTTCACCTCCTTCTATAGTTCTTCCCATTTGTGCACTGGCTCAAGAGTTAGCAGAAGACTTTAACCCTCATACCCCTTAGCAAAACTGTAAAAGGACTGGGAGCCATAAACAAGATTTTAGGAAGGATGGAGGGTAACGAAATGGAAATACACAGAGAAAATGATTTGAAACCAGATAATCCAGTTTACAAAATAAGGTTTGCCCTTCTTCAGTTTATAACCCACTACAGAGATTAGGACTTCCTCTCACAGCTAGATCACCTGTTTTAAATTACCTTTTCAGCAGGTCACTATGCATTTTCAGTGATTCTTCTTTGCCTCCAGACACACTCTTAAGGTATAAACTGTCATAACCGCACTTTTAGAACCTTATCTTCCACTCACCCACACTGTGAGGTTTTTCACCTATCTTACTCAGAGGCCTCAGAATATGCTACTGGTTTTGCCTCTTTGCTCAAACCGTTCTTCACAGTCCACTCAGCACTCTTTCCTGTCTGCCCAAATTGTTTTATTCAGGGCATTATGGTTTGATTCAATTAAGCAAGCTCAAGTAAAAGGTTTTCTTAAAGTAATATGACGTGTGAGTTCTCAGAAACAGGACTCAACATACTCTTTAGCCTTGTAACAGTCGTGAATACTTGAGCTTAAGCAATTGTTTTTCTCTCACATATGAAAAAATCTGGAGGTAGGTAGTTGCTGACTGTTTTAGTGGTTCAACATTATATTCTAAAGACTAGGGGGACTACTCTTATAGGCTTTTTCCTCATGATCACAAGATGGTTGCTATAGCTCTAAATGTCATGTTCATGTTCAAAGAAGGTGGAAAGAGAAGGGAAGGGAAGCCAGTCTTTATCTTTGGTCAAGAGAGCAAGAACTTTCACAGAAACCTGCCAGTAGATTTCTGTGTATATAACATTTGTAAGAACTCTGTAACCTAGCTGTTCATAAAGGAAGTGAAATCACAAGCCATAAGTGATTACTATTGAGATTATATAAAGAACTTCTACCCTGGGGCACCTGGATGGCTCAGTGGGTTAAAGCCTCTGCCTTGGGCTCAGGTCATGATCCCAGGGTCCTGGGATCGAGTTCTGACATTGAGCCCCGGCATCGGGCTCTCAGCTTGGAAGGGAGCCTGCTTCCTTCTCTCTCTCTGCCTACTTGTGATCTCTGTCAAATAAATAAATAAATAAAAATCGTAAAAAAAAAAAAAAAAAAAAAAAAAAGAACTTCTACCCTGGGGTGTCTGGTGGCTTAGTGGGTTAAAGCCTCTGCTTTTTGGCTCAGGGTCCTGGGATCGAGCCCTGCATCAGGCTCTCTGCTCAGATAAATCAACCCAATAGAAAAATATGCGAAAGACAGGCCATTGACAGAAGAAACATTTGTGGTGAATAAATTTAGAGAAAGATGCCTAGTCACATTAGTGATCACGGAAATCAAATTATGACTACATTGTGATAACCACTCATTATGACTACATAGTATAATCACGAAATTAGCAAAAATGAAGACATCTCAAAAATAAATGTTGAGGGGCGCCTGGCTCAGTGGGTTAAGCCTCTGCCTTTGGCTCAGGTCATGATCTCAGGGTCCTGGGATGAGCCTCGCATCCCGCTGTCTGCTCAGCAGGGAGCCTGCTTCCCCCTCTCTCTCTGCCTGCCTCTCTGTCTACTTGTGATCTCTCTCTGTGTCAAATAAATAAAATCTTTAAAAAATAAGTAAATGTTGATAAAAATGTGGGATGGTCACTACTGCTAGTGTGGGTGAGGTAAAATAGTACAACCGCCTGGGAGTACAGTCTGGGATTTAAAAAACAGGATATGGCTTAATACATCTTAATGGACTTTCTTTTGTTGATCTATTTTAAAAGTTATTAACTGTAACTCCTCCAAAAGGCAAAAAATCTGTTAATATATTAACTGTTTTCTTTACCTCCTTCTAACCTAAGAAAATGTCTTCTGGTGTTGGCAGAGGGATGGGAAAGTGCACCTCCCTATGCAGTGTTTCCAGAGCTCTCAGGCAAAACACTTACTCCTGCTTTGTGTGCCTGCTGTAAGCCAACATCACAATGTTCATTTGATTACACATTAGACTTCCTGACGGGGCGGTTGGCTCCTAGAGGGCAGAGATCTTTTCTTGTTCATTTTAGTGTCTCTATAGTGTGCACTGAGTTTGATGTATATCGAGGGACTCAACAAATGCTGAAGGAATGAATGAGTGAATAAAATAAAATTAATCAATAGGGTTTTTTGAATGTTTACTTTTGAAAAGGCGTTTTAAAAAAGTAAATGTTTATTTCAAAACCTGTTTAAATAAAGCACTGTCCCTAGACTATGCCCAGCACACAGTAACAATAAATATGTTTTGAATGAATACCAAATACTTAGATATCACAAGTAATTTCAATTTGCTGTGACCTTTCACTCTGGGGACTTTGTACTTTACTCTGGAAGTAAAGAAAGCCATATCAACAATGGCACATTTTTTTGTTATAAATTGTTAAAACTTTTAAAAAGATATTCCAACAAAAGGTGAAACACAAAATTTACATTCTTTTTTTTTTTTAAAGATTTTATTTATTCATTTGAGAGAGAGAGAGAGAGAGAGCGAGCGAGCACAAGCAGGGGGAGAGGCAGGGAGAGAGGGAGAAGCAGAGTCCCTGCTGAGCAGGGAACTCGACTCGGGACTCCATTCCAGGACCTGAGCTAAAGGTGGACGCTTAACCATCTGAGCCACCCAGGTTAAAGAAAAATGATTTACACTTGTTAAAATGGTGAGGAAAACTATTGCTATTGGGGGGTCAAAATTACTACAATAGGAGAAAGAAATTTTGCTTCGCTTTGAATACAGTAAAGACAGCTGGGAATTTATAGCCAACAAACAAGCAGAGCGAGGGTTCAGTGGATGGAAAATTACTATGAAGAAACAGAAAGGCAGGCCAAAGGTGGAGGATCAGTTATTTGATCACGTATCAAAGGCATCAGACATCAAGGAGCGCGATGACTTAGCAGGATTCGTACTAATACTGGGTTCAGCCAGACCACACTTGAGGGCCTACGTCGAAGCCTAAGCAAGCAAAAGGCTCACAGGAGCCTAAATAACGCTCGGACAAGTCTCTGTCACTGCCTGCCTCAGACCTCTTTATTAGCCAATCTGTACGGATAAGGATGGCTGGAAGGAGGCCGGATCGTGGGCCCGGAGCCTAGCTCTCCTTCCCGGCAGCAATAATCCTCGGCCAGGACTCCCGAGACATCTTCCTGCGACCACCGCAGGAACGCCGGTCAGAGCAACGGCCCTCGCCTCACACCCGGGGCGCCCCCAACGTCAGCCAGACCGCAGTGCATCCCAATTTAGGGGCGGGGTCCGCAGGTCGGGCGGGGCGGGGCTGGCGGCGCTGATTGGCCAAAGCTCTCGGGCTTGGGGTTCCCGGCCCCGCCCCACCGCCCCATTACTGGCCGTTTAGAGTTTGCTGTGCTCCCCTCAGCCAGCGAGGCCGCAGGCTGGCCAGTCCCGCGCTGCCCCGCAGGAGGGGCCGAGCCCATGTTCCTCCTCCCTACCGGTCCCATCCTTAAAGCACGAGTTCCGACGCCCCGCCCGTTGGAGCGGGCTTCGGGATCGCGACAGCTAACCGCCCGGGCAGGCCAGGGCCTACCGAGGAGGGCCCGAGACCACGGAGCAACCGCGGCTGGCACGCGAACGTCTCGGGGCGTGGGAGCTGCGAGGGTAGGGGTCCCGGGCGCCATTGTTGGCCGCCAGAGAGCCGGCAGGACCTCGTCTGCCCTCAGAGGCGCTTCTCCCGCCGAGAGGAGGCACAGCTGGGGCCGTCGCCACCCCGTGGCCCAGTGTCGTGAATCGTGTGCCTCATCTACCGCCCGCGTCGGGCCGCCGGGACCATGTTTGACAAGACGCGGCTGCCGTACGTGGCCCTTGATGTGCTCTGCGTGTTGCTGGGTACGTAGGCGCCGCCGGCCCGAGGGGCGTGTGCCCCGGTGGGTACGGGCGTGTGTCTTCTGGGAGGGGACTCGCGGAGAGCTGCGGACGGGCGTGGGGGCGGTGTGTGTGCGCCTGACGCGCACGCCTTTGCTAGGGGAGACTCCGGGGGCCGCTTCCGCAGCCCCGGGATCCCGCTTTGCAGCCTGCACCCAGGCCCCCGTGTGACCTCCTCTGTCTGTCTCCTGCGGGTGTGCTGAGCTCAGCTCTGCTTGGACGCTGTTCACGCCTCTGCGCTCAGTGCCTTGCTCCTGTCCTCTGTTTCCAGTTCCACTCCCAACAAGAGCGGGGTGGGCTCCTCCCCTCCACGCTGTAGGGAAACCCGGTCACCGGCTTGTCAGGTTCAGGAGCGACACGGAGGTTTGATTCACTGAGGATTCTCAGTAACAGGCGCCAGTGCCTGGTTTATCTTACTTGTGGGAAGCAGTTTAATTTTTCATCTTTAAAAGGCTAGAACGTTCCTAATTAGAAGGTGTTGCCCGGTTGTAAATTGTCACGTTGCCAGTGGGCGTGAGGATGCCAGGTTTCTGCCTATAGGTCCGAAGAAGCTTGCCTTTTTGGGTGTGTGTGTTTGGGTGTGTGTGTGCGCGCGCGCGCGTGCTCCAGACCTCTTTCCTTCTCTGTACAGACCTTGCCATGGTGTAGCTTTCCATCTCCAGTGACAGCCCACAAGGAGCACTAGACATTCTTTGGCTGCAGCAGATTTGGCGTTGTCTTCCTCATGGAAGAGTTCATTTCTGGGGCTGCTGGTTGGCAGGTGCTTCTTTCTTTTGACAAGAATTGAAGTCATCTGGATGAGGGATAGGCTTTGGAAGGAAACTTTCATCTTTTTAATATGTATTTTGTAAAGCAGTATGTTGCGAACTATTTAGATGTTCTTAAAAAAAAAAAAAAAAGAAACAAGATCTGATTGAGGTTTGGGTAGCCCTAATCAAGTATGGAAGTAATGGTTCTGGCAAGTTCCCTGGCTGGGGGAATCTGTGACTTGAGAATCCTAGGTGCAGGTGTGCCTAATAGCCTTTCACGGGTAAGAAATTCCCCGGGTTTGAATCCCGAATTCCACTTTTCCTGCCTCAAACCTGTACACTTAGGGGCTTGCAGTCTTGCTCAATTCTTAGAAATTCTTCTCTTTGAGGTAAAATCCCTTTTTATTATCTACGAAATATCTTTATTGTTGACTAAGACACTTCCTGTAGAGCTCCTCCACAGTGAATTTTTGGAGTTAAGTTTAGGAAAGCAAAACACGTTTAGGAACACTATAGAAACCTGAGGAACTCTTTCAGTTGTCAAGACATATTAATAACTATTAAATGTATTGAAATTGATTTATTGACAATGAAAGGTTTATCTTTGGTAAAGATGATAAATTTCATTTTCGTTTAGATTTGTCTTTTAATTCCAATGTAGTTTTTTAAAAAACAGTGTTATGTTAGTTTCAGGTGTGCAGTATAGTGACTCAACAATTCTGCATATGACTCCATGCTCATCAAAATAAGTGTACTCTTAATCCCCTTCACCTGCTTCACCCATTTTCTCACCCACCTCCCCTCGGATAAGATGTAAAATTTTAAAATGTACTTTAACCCATACTCACCGTCAGTAGGGCTTCGTTAAGCTTCATTTATATTTTAGAGAAGGGAGAGGAAAATGGTCAGAAGTAATTTTGATAATTTTAATATATTGGCTAGTACCCTGTCATTGCTGCATATTGTGTACTCTCAGAATTATGTATCAACTTCCTCTTCTCCTACCTTGTGAGAGTTATTCATTTATAAAACAAATGTCAGGTTTTTTTCTATGGGCCAAGCACTGTATTAGGACAAATGAGACATAATACCACTTTAAGGTAGCTAAAGCTAATATTAATAATCACAAAGTCACAAGGTAGACCTGTGTATTGTTTGTATGTTTTAAAATTTGCTTATAATGGAAAAACATTAAAAACAGACTTATAAATTACAAGTTCTTCTTGTCTGTGTTTTCAACATGATGCAAATAGTACATAATTATACTACAGAGGTAAGAATAATTTTATTGCTACATTGACCTGACAGTTGCAGGATTTATGATGGTTCCCAAAAAGATACAATTGCGTTTTTTATTTTAAATATCTTTGATGGTTTTGGAAAGACTTGCTTTGGGGACTTAAGGATTAAGTATGTTTTAGAAGAAGATATCTCATCTGTTTGAAATGTGTTTTATCTGTTACTGTATTACTCAAGATTCTTTTAAAGTAATTCAGAAGATTTTCATCATGGGCCCAGAATTCCCTTTTCCTAAACAGAAAATGAAGTACTCACTTCTTTTTATTTTCATATATAAGATGACAGTAGATTTAACAGTATCAGTCCTCCATTACAAACAGCAATGAAAGAGGGCAGTGGGGGAGGAGATAAAGAACTTTTTCATGCTGAGTTTTGGAAGGTAGTACATTTTTAAAAAAGATTTTCATTTATTTATTAGAGAAAGAGAGAGTGTGCGCTCGAGAGCACAAGCAGGGGGAGCAACAGGGAGAGGGAGAAGGAGAAGCAGTATCCCCACTGAGCAGGGAGTCTGATCCTGGGACTCTGGGGTCATGACCTGAGCCGAAGGCAGATACTTAACTGACTGAACTACCCAGGTGCCCCTGGAAGGCAATACATTCTGATAGCAAATTCACCTTTTTATTGGAGTGTAAGGGTTATTTTAAATTTGGTTTTTATTCACTTTACTGACAGCAGGAGATTGACACCCTAAAATTAGGGGTTATCAACTTGGCATTAACTTTATTCATTTTCTGTGAGAATATACCAGTAAGAGTTAACTATACCAACAAAAAGATGATTAAACACTTCTTAAGTACAGGGTTATGTGAAAGTGATTCATAATTACAATGTGAATATGTTCCAGGTTCTGTTAATGACCACTCCAACATCATACAGTGTATCCATTTTAATATGATGATGTTACATGATTTTGCTACGTGACTACTTTATAATTTTATGGAATGTGATGTCTGTTGAAGTGATCATTAAACATGTGTTTTTTTGGTGTGTGTATGTACATTTGTGCCCCTCCATCATCTTTATCACTATAAAACATGAATTCTCCATCTGATATACCCAGGTGATTAGTTCCTTCAGTGGATGTGGTAAGTTCGTAGAAAAAGAGTCAGGATTTTGAGAGATGGTATGTATTTGAAATGGAGCATAGTCTTGCCATCTTTCTCTGGCTTTTTTGATGATGAGTTCTATCATTGTAGATAAGGCTGGCTATAAGCATCTGAGCATACGAGAAAAGCTGCTCTATAGGGAATGATAGTGGGCTGGTGTGAAAGGAACAGTGTTTTTGCCTGGTGTGTTAAATGGTGTCCTGAATAAAACTTACTAGTGTTTAATTACTGAGAGTCATTCCAGATTTTATCCACCATGGCATAAGGCTGCCAGTGAGTGGACACTGAGTCCACTGATTGATTCAGTGCACACTGATTGAAGGCTGATTCTGCCAGGTCCATGTTAGGTGCTAGGGATACAAAGATGAGTAAGACAGTCCTTGCTCTAAGGGAGATCAGGGTCTAATGAAGAACAAACCAACAGGTTACAGTATATCATGGTAAGCATAATAATGGAAGTATGAAATATGTACCCTTTGAGTTCAAAGAAGGGAGTTATCTTAGACCTGATCCATTATAAACAAATGGTTTGTTTATCCTTAGTGATGCAGAAATGACAAAAGTTTCCTGGAATCCTCTTTTTTTATTTCCTCAACTTGATGCAAGGCAGTAGTGACCCAAGTAAGTAACCTATGTTGATGACTTTTTTGTCTTGAATGGTGTCTTGAAGATTTAGGTGTAACTGGCATCCCATGGTGTCTTGAGGATTTAGGTGTAACTGGCAAAAACTTTTTATGTACTTGTGTTTTGCTATGTGGCAGTCATTTAGAATACCTTTTTGGGCTCCATATTCTTCTTTGCCCCTCCAGCTCTGTTCAGCTTGCTCTGTGTTCTGGGAAGCAGGCAAATTATATGGGCTCTATCAACTAACCTCTTATTTTATGGTTTCTGTTTGGTTTTGGCTGATGGTACATCAGTAGAGGCATGGAATAGCCAGTTCTCTCCTGCTGGATTTGTGTTGCTAGAGCTGTTGTGTGGTTTTGTGAATAGGTCTCAGCTTCTCTTCAATGGCCCTCTCTGCCAGCCAGCTCCAGTTACAGATCTTTTTGGGTTCTGGTAACCCCGTAATTGCCCCTTAGGCCTAATGATGATAATGGCCTCCTGATGTTGGTAGCTTGGGAGTATTCCACCATCCCTTGCTACTTTACCTAAATCCTGCCTATACTTATAAAGATGATTCATTAAATTCTGTTGAATACCTTCTTTTGACTGTGTTTGTGGTTTGTTGGTTGGTTGATTTTTGGTTGGGACCCTACTAATGACATTCATACATGTCCAAAACAGATTTGAGGTAGCTTCCCTTTCTGCACTTAACACCTTTTACAGCTGCTCTTTATAGCAGGTGCAAACAGAAGCTCATGGTCTCCAAGGTCATAGTTTCCTTAACAAGCTCTAAATGTGGTACGACTATTATGCTAAATCAGAATCAGTAGATTAAGAATAAAATCTGGCAGCAAAGAGCTGGCAGCCAATAGTAGGTGTTTGTAGAATCCCTGTTACTTGTTCTTCCTCAGTATCTATCTCAAATACTGATACCATATGTTGTTGCCATGACACTGACATCATTCTGCCCCTTAAGTATTACCCCTGAGGAGTGGTCTCTTTCCTGTCTCTCAGTTTGGGCCTGTTTCTCAAGGAAAAAAGTATTTCCAAGTAAGTATTTAGTGAAAGATTCTCACTTGGTAAATAGTCTGCAGCATTTTGTGCCTTCCCTTTTTTCCTAATGTTTGTTTGTTCCTTCATTCATTATTGAGCATGTATTTATTTAGTATCTGCTGGTGCTTGGCATTGTGTTGGATGCTGAAGATAAAAATAAGTAAATAAATACATAAATTGGACATAATGCTTATCTTGGTTGCTAGCCATTTCAATCTCCATTAACTTTTATTAAGCAAACTTCTTTTCCTTCTGATGAAAGTTTACTGGGTTTGTTTCTCTTTTTTATAAAAACTTTCTCTTTCCTCCAAGCCACAGTGAAAAGGAAATCATCTCAGAAAATGAACAAAGCGGGTGCCTGGGTGGCTCGGTCATTAGGCGTCTGCCTTCGGCTCCAACCATGGTCCCACAGTCCTGGGATTGAGTCCCACATTAGGCTCCCTGCTTGGCGGGAGGCCTGCTTCTCCCTCTCCTACTCCCTCTGCTTGTGTTCCTTCTCTCACTGTGTCTCTCTTTGTCAAATAAATAAATAAAATCTTTGGGAAAAAAAAATGAACAAAGATTTGTTAAGCTGGCATATTCTTGAGTTAGACTGGAGTCCTGTTGCAGGCCTTTTCTACATTTAAGTGAATAAAAGTAGAGGCCTGGAAGAAAATGCTACCATTTGGCTCCAGTTGGCTTTGTACACTTGAGTTTTAACTTAAACTTACCTTGCTTTTGGAAATGTTCAGAGAATGTTCTTCTCTATAGAGTTTATGAAATGTAAATTCTTCCTTATAGTCACTTTGAATTACATCCTTTTGGAAACTTCTGGGCATGCTGTGGATCTTGATTAATCTTTTTCTTGTTTAGTCATTTTTTGGGAGCTCTACCAAAGTTTCCTATCTGCTCAGCTTGGGGAATTATTCTGATTCTTGTGGATAAAAAATTGAAGTTTACATTGCTGTTGTTTACTAAAAGAAGTTGGAAGAAAGTCACTAACTTCTCAGATTTTAAGTAAGCCGATTAAAATGTAGCTTCCATTTTATGGAAAGGAATTTGGAATGTTAATTGTCCACTTCCTCCTAATTTAGGTAACTTAATTCACTATTTGGGATAGAAATTACAATCTGTTTAGTAAGCTAATTATGGATTATATAGACACTGTTTTATTTCTCTTATTCTCTTTTTAAGAAAGCACTCACCATTCAGATAGTATGGACAGTGGTTACAAGTAGCTTTCTTCTTCCATCCTTCTTATTTATTTACCTTATTTTTCATTTTTACTATTTTTTTTTCCTTCTCTCTTCCTCCTGCTTTCCTTCTCTGCAACCTTCTTACTGTCTAGGTTTTTGTTTTTGTTTTTTTAAGATTTATTTATTTACTTGACAGGCAGAGATCACAAGCAGGCAGAGAGGCAGGCAGAGAGGGGTGGGGGAAGCAGGCTCCCTGCCGAGCAGAGATTCCCCATGCGGGGCTCTATCCCAGGACCCTGGGATCACAACTTGAGCTGAAGGCAGAGGTTTTAACCCACTGAGCCACCCAGGTGCCCCTTTACTGTCTAGGTTTAAAATTGAGATGGCTTAAACGGAGTTGTTGCTTTTTTTTTTTTTTCCTGAAACTAGTTTTACATTGGGAATGACTTGTTCTTTATAAACTGTAAGTTTCTCTTTTTCTTTAAAATAATAGGGAGGTAACATAGTTTAGTAATGGACTCTTTTTTTTTTTTTAAGATTTTATTTATTTATTTGACAGACAGAGATCACAAGTAGGCACAGAGGCAGGTGGAGAGAGAGGAGGAAGCAGGCTCCCTGTTGAGCAGAGAGCCCAGTGCAGGGCTCCATCCCAGGACCCCAAGATCATGACCTGAGCCAAAGGCAGAGGTTTTAACCCACTGAGCCACCCAGGCCCCTGTGAGACTCTTGATATGCATTGCTTAGGTTCACATTTCATTTCTTCTCTTTACTAGTTTCGTGACCTTGGGCAATTTTCTTCTTTGTGCTTCTTCCTAATAAAAGCACCTACTTTATGCGGTTCTGAGGCTAAAGTAAATCAATTTGTAAAAAGCTTAGAGCAGTGCCTTGTACTTTGTGCAGGATATGTTTGTCAAATAAGATTAATCCTCTCTAATCCTACCAACTATAACATAATTTTAATAGAAATAACATCAACTAGTTTTGTGTTAGGGACAAAAAACAGTCACAAACTTCGAAACATTTCCCATGAATATTCATGGAATGTCTTTGAAGCTTATAAAGCAACTTGAAATAATAATGTTATCAGTCATGTGTAAAAACCACATATACAATCTCCAAGTAGTGGTAATCCCAACAATGGTGGAAACTGATCTGTGTAGGTTGTGTTAGAGAATAATTAAACAAATAGAAAAACTTTATATATTCATAAATCCTGAATTTCAGCTTAATCAAGAAAATGGAGTTAGCTGTATTCTGTGTCACCTTCACTGTTTTTATTGCCCAGGCCATGGGAATGGTCACTCCTCATATAAAAGTAAACTTCATTTAAAAAAAAAAAATTGACCTTAATTGTACATCCTCATTTGTGTAAATTCTGTTATTTGAATTCTCAGCAATTAAGTGGACAGCAAAGAAAAAAACTGTTGTGTAATACTTCTCCATACCCTCCACTCCCTCTTACTCACTTCCCCATATCCTCTTTTCCCTCTTACTCTTGCTTTTTTCAACCAGATAGTTATTTCAATGTATCTTAATCTGAAATTGTTTTTTTGATGTGTGTGTGTGTGTGAGGGAGAGAGAGAGAGAGAGAGAGAATAATGCTAGGTTTTTAAAAATATTAGACTTCACATTATCTTTATTAAGTGAGCACCCATTATGTGTTTAATACAATGTTAGGAGCTGTAAATGCCATTGCGAAGAAGGTAATGTCTTCAATCTTTAAGAAAATTATAGATGTTTGTAAATGCCACAAAAGAATTAAAATAAGGTTAGAAGAAGAGAGTGAGATGGGGGAGGGTGGCAATCTCAAGGAAGTCTTCTCTGAGGAGGGGATATCTGAACTGGCCATGGAGGAACTGGAAGAAGTTGATTTTAGGTTTAGGGAAGAGCAGGTGTTGAGGGCCAAACAGCAAAGAGCATTTGCCACAGGGATTGTAACATTTGTAACAGTGTGACTGGTATATAGTATGCATCCATGGTATTCATAATAGTGAATTTTGTAACTTATTTCTAACTGTCAAAGTGGATAATAATAACTGACAGTTATTTAGTGCTTACTAGGCCCTGTGTGGCCTGTAAAGTCTCTTAACAACTTGATCAGGGACAGTAGCTTGGTCATCCCCATTCTGTAGGTGATAGAACTGAGGTATAGAATAATTGGGAAACTCTCCCAAGGGAACCCAGCTAAGAGGTGGTACAGTCAGGACTTGGGAAACATATTTTTAAGGATTATACGTTTTGAATGTGGATTCACTGGTCCAGATTTAGGAAAGGTGCTAATAAGTGGAGAGGTTGAGGAAGGAGAGATTAGGGGATTAGTTGATTCTAAAAACAATCATTATTTTTAGGTGGCCTAATTGTTTTATGGCCATCTGAATTCAGTATGATGTGACTTCAGAGTCTATTTTGACTTACGATATTTTGAACATGTGCCTGCTGTCCAAAGGGGCAATTTAATTTTTCATAACTCCAACTCCTGATTGCCAGGAGAGTATCTCATACTGGAAGATGTAACTAATTTGCCCTGTTTGGTAACATACCCACAGATTTTTTTTTTTTTTTTTTCAGATAGCTTTGTCATGGGCATTTCTATACAGGAAAGGAAGACCTTTGTCCTTCACTGTACTTCATGTAAGTCACTGTACTTCATGTAAGTCATGTGTTAGAGAGTTCAGAGTCACCTTTCTAGTTCATTCCAGCAGATATAGTTAGAATCTCATGATTTAGTTCTCAGTGGTCATTGCTTGGAAATGTTTCCTGAGTCTTTTTCAGGGTGGGGTGCCTAGGAAAATGACATATAGGAAATATGTACCGGATGAGCTCTTGAGTTAATTGGCAGCTTGTTAAGCCAGGTTCTGCCTTGCCTTTTGGTACATTTACATCAGCACTAAGAGAGATGGGTTGGCTGCTTAGGTGCTCTAGGGGTAAGTGATAAAAAGTGAAGAAAACCATTATTCACTAAATGCCTAAATGAGCCTTTGGTAAATGTCTTACATAAACTTATGCAGTCCTTACAAAATTCTGAGGTTTTAGCTTCATTTTATGTCATAGCACTGGCATAAAAAATAGGTAGAAAAATAAAAGCCATGGATCTCAAATAGCTCTTGCTTACTGTGGACGACAGACTCGTAAGAAATAGTGGCAATACTGTCTGGTAAGTTGAGTGCTGGATAGGTCCTTGCTTTGAAGTTTACTAAGAGTGAGTGAGACAGGGTCTCACTGGAGAGGTATACAGAGCCTTGAAAATAGAGATCGGTAGGTATTTTAATGAAGTCTATCTATATTTCAAAATAATTTCTCCTGAGATGTTTGCTTTTACCCTCTGGCAGAGATAATGTATACCTTTGGGTACATTACTTTTGGCTAGTGCTAAATTCTGTAAATAATTTCTGTAGACAGTTGAGGCCCCATCTGTATTAACTGGGTGAAGACACAGGAGGTGGGTGCTTAGAAAGTGTGTGGCACATGGTAGGTATTCCAGTATTTGCCACATGAATGTATAGGCAATGTATTTGAGTCAGCCACTCTTCTGGGGTTTGAATTTTAGCTCTGTTACTAACTCTATGATATTGGGCAGGTCGCTTCAACTCTTGGATGAGTTTTGTCATCTAATGAGGAAAAAGATGCTAATAGTGCATTCCTCCTATTGCTGTGAAATTAGATGAGATAATGTATGAGACAATGCGTAGTGAAGTGTTTAGCATAGTTCTGGCCTGTGCTGTTGTTATCATTATTAAATTAATAAACCAATTTGGTACCACTGACCTGGTCTGTTACTCAAATTTGATGTGACATGGTATTGACTTTTCTTTTGGAATCTTATTTAGTGTAGTTCTAGTTTCAGCCTAAAGAGCATTGAGAATGGGAATCTGGTTCATATTTCATTTTTTTAGTGCCCAGATCATTTTGGGAAATGTTTCAATTATTTCTAACCTATTTCTTTCTGCTATCAGATACCTCAGTAAGATCTTCTAATTTTACTTTTAGGTGAACAGTATTCCTATAGCTCATGGGCAAGGTACCCAAATGAATGTTTGTGCTTGGAGAGAGATTAGTAAAATAGAAATAGGTGTGTGAGCTAGTAATGGCATGGTTTGGATAGTGGTAACTTCTCTTAGTTCTCAGTTCCTAAAACGTGAAGGTTTTTTATGTCTTAAATATAAACTGGTTAAGAGCTAACTTGTAGTTCAGGTTGAAGGAGCTAAACATAAGCTGTTCTCATTGTAACTTCTTTTTATCAGTAAGAATTTATCCTTTCTTCTTTCCATAGAGTTTAAGAAGCAGATGTATGTAGTGGTCACATCCATCTGCAGTGTTCTGGGATAGCCCAATTTTAGCTGATAACCTTCTGCATAAAGGCAGTTTACTAAGTGTATGACTAAATGTAATTAAAAATCATACATTTATAATATTAACTCTAAACCTATTATTAAAAAAAATTTTTTAAGCGATATCCCAATTTGATTGGAAAATGTACCTAACATAGTTATGCAGTGTAACAGAAGCAAGTGACATTTATTTTTATTTTTTTCAAATGGCATGGATAAGAGAAAGGAATTTTAAAAGGGCACTTTTCCAAATATGTATTGTTTCTGACCTACTGCTCGAGTTGGCAAAAAGGTTTTCTTAAACTTTGATGTTATCAAAACTTGTTAGGCAGGTTATGGGTAATATTCAACTTTATAGCTAGTGTTGGATATCTACATTAATATTAACTTTATGTACCACAATATGAGTGAGATTCTAAGTGCTGCCATTGAAGATAGCCTAATTATGAACCAAATGTAGTAACAAGTAAATTACCTTTATGGAGATGTTTTTATGTGGACTTTCCCCTTTGCTTAGGATATGATGTCATGGATGTTTTCCAGTAGTGCAATTTCTTTATGTAACTATTTAAATAGTTCAGAGTATGATCTAATAATTAAAGCCGTTGGCTTGGAAATCAAATTCTGGTCTTGCTTCTGCTACTCTCAGTGATCACATGGGCAGGATCTCATGGGCTGCTTCATTTATTCATGTGTACTTTATAATGAGAATAATAGCTGCCTGTATATATCTCAGGATTGTAGTGGTAAGCAAACCTTGGTTATTAAGAAGAGTCAGTTGCTGCATAATATATTATAGCAGTTGACACCAGGGGACTTATAGTAGGAAGACAGAACACATAGTATTCAAGGGGGTGTTTTGAGCAACTGGAACAGACCTATAGGTGATCAATTATAAGTCTAATCTAGTCAAGAATGAGGTGAGTGTTCTCAACAGAAAGTAGGAAAAAGGTGGAAAGTGTTTAGGAAGTAGTGATGGGCCTTGATACAAAGTAATCAAAGTAATACAGGCCCCCTGCTTGAATTTTCTCTTTTGCCATACTTAGGTACACAGTTTTATCAGTGACTAAGTGGCTCATGAAATCTTGCAACTAGTTTATTATTCCTGTATCAGTCATACTGTGAGAAATTGGGACATGTGCTATCTTGAAAAGCCAATGTAAAATATAATTTGGTCAGACTGACTGAAATTTCAGTGAAGGGAGATTTTGATTTTTTTTTTTTAATAAAAGATTAATGTTTGGGGGCACCTGGGTGGCTCAGTGGTTGAGCCTCTGCCTTCGGCTCAGGTCATGATCTCAGGGTCCTGGGATCAAATCCCACATTGGGCTTTCTGCTCAGTGGGGAGCCTGCTTCCTCCTCTCTCTCTCTGTCTGTCTCTCTGCCTACTTGTGATCTCTCTCTGTCAAATAAATAAATTCTTAAAAAAAAAGATTAATGTTTGCCTACCATTTAATTAAAAAGGGAAAGAAACCACAGTTTTAACCAAGTCTGCTGAATATCAGGAGTTTATTGTATCAACAGCAGTTTGTCTTCTGTGAAGTCTGTCAGATTCTTTTGGCGAAGATCTGATGCACCAAGGGAATCTCTTCTAATCTTGTAATCTGCTTGTGCTATGTTCTGTTCCATTGGCCTGCTGGATAATAAACAGGTGAGAGATATTCTTTGAAGTAGAGTGATTGCATTATTGTGTTTCTGAGATTGTGTTTCTGTTTTCCTCAGTACAGACTAGTTCATTAGCCAATTAGTGATTAAAATGGTGAGACCTCAATGTTACTGTGTAGCTGTAGCTGTCCAACTGATTTATTACTATGTAGGCCATTAGGGTATAGATACCATTGAACAGTTAAGGAATTCATCTACTCTCTAGACATGGAAACTCAACACCCATTAAAAATATAGCAGAATTAAAATTCCATGGCCAAAGTTGTAAGAAAGTCTTGACAAAATCGAGTCCCATTTGAGAGCATATTTTTTGCTTGCTAATAACTTAAAAACATACATTTAAAGGCACTGAGCTATTCAGTACTCATTACTGAAATTTGAAACTCAAGTGAGCCTCTAGAGCCTAAAGGCACTGATGTGGGCTTTTTTTACTTTATTTAAAAAAATTTTTTTAATTTAATTTCAGTTAGCGAACATATAGTAGTACATCATTAGTTTCAGATGTAGTGTTCAATGATTGATCAGTTGCATGTAACACCCGGTGCTCATCGGAAATAAATTACTTCTAATAAAAAGGGAGTCAAAAAAGAGAGTGGGGAAAAAGAAAACAAGGAAAATGAAGGAAGTGAATATTGCTGGATGATCTGTTTTTGCCTTCTAAGAGGAGTTCAGAAGAGGATGAAGCTTCTTTGATAGAAAGGATGAGAGAATTAATCATGAGGTTGTGCTTCCTAAAGGCCTGAGATTGCTTGCTGCCCAGTAAAGGGATTGTGGTGGAGATTCTGATTTTTCATTTGGAAAAATTTAAGGGTCACATTTATAGTGATTTTAAAAGTAAGGAATTTATCCTTTAGGTTGGTCAATTAATTCAAACTTTGTCTAAGATTTACTAGGGAAAAAAGTCAGATTACTGAAAAAATGCTGTGTTAGTTACCCATATGTCCTGTCTTTGGACTTTTCATGATTAAGAATGAGCTATTGGGGTGGGAGTCTCCTGCATGGCTCAGTCAGTAAGCGTCTGACTTAATCTCAGTTAGGTCTTGATCTCAGGGTTGTGAGTTGAAGCCAGCCCCCTCTTTGGGCTCCACACTCGGCATGGAGCTTACTTAAAACAAACAAACAAACAAAACTTTGTTGAGTATTTTGTTAAGTCAAAGTTGTAGTAAAAGTTGACGAGTTTGACATTTTGAACTGTCAGATATAACAAATAATGAAATCTTACAGTTCATACAGGGCTAGCCATAGGCATATTTTAGTGAGTTATCTAAATATAATTCAGGAGAAGGTGTTTATGTAATATGACATACAGACATATTAATATTTACAATAATAAAGGGTGTGAATTATATCTGTGTATTCATCTTATCTATGCAAAGTACTATTAGGCAAAATAAGAGGGAAACAGACTGTTATTCCATTTTAAAGAGGTTAGAATGTTTTACTTTGTAGTTTCAACAGAACTTTAAAAAATTTGTTTTACCAAGATATGAAATAATTTCCATTTATTTTTACTAATGTATAAAAGTTTTTAGAGAATTCTTTTGTATTTATGGGATGCATAAAAAGTTAAGTGTGGACATTGGAAACCTACAGGTCTGAGTTTGAATTCCAGTTCTTTCACCTATAGTTACGATAAAT